TATTTATTAAAAAAATATATAATAATCTTACAAGGGTACAAGATATAAATAAAAGTTTATGACTCTAAACTAATCCAACTTCTCTGGTTTCGGCTTTATCTTGCCCACTAATTGATTTGAAAAAACAAAATAGGTGAGGGATGAGCAAACCACCGCTCAGTGAGTAGATTATGTAATATGCCAGTCAAGCAATGTCATTTTCCACACTCTAGAAAAATATAATAAAAAGATACACAATCCAAATCATATCACATCATTACTTCATATCTTGGTTATCCTTCACAAATTGTACCCAGTACGTGACCCCTATTGGCCTCACTGCCCTATGTCCTCGTCTGGTACATTTATCCTTTGAATACCCCGTCACTGAAGTTCTCATGTTCCATGAATACCGTTTCCCTCTTTTCGGCCAAGGTAGCCGTTGGAAGGAACTTTTGGTCCTTCTTCTCTTGGATTGCGTAGGCGTGCCACCACCAAGCCACTGATTGGCTAGAATGGAAAAGGTTGGATTGTTATGTTCGCGCTTCTGACTTCTAACCAGCCGATTGATCGGCCAAGCAAGGAACCTCCTCTTGGCCTAGGTCCTTTCACTTCCTCGGGGTCGAGGATGGTTAGGTTTCGTATGGGTATTTTAGTATTTTTTGAGATTTTAATGATAATGATGCAAATTAAATTAAAAGATGCGATTGAACTTAAAGACAAGAATTAAAATGCAATAAAGTAAATCAAAGCAATAGATAAAGGTAAATTAAACGAAGAACGGAATAAGAACGATATGAATGATAAAGACAATAAAATAAAGCGATTTGAAATTAAATTAAACTTAAAGATAATTCGATAACAATTAAAAATAAAGCGATAAGCTTGAATCTTAAAACAACGTAAAGGAAAATGCAGGGAATTAAACTTACACTAACGAAAGTGAAGAACTGATCTAGTTTACTTGCTTGGGAAATAAAAACCTAGTCGAGGGATAGAAAATTGAAAGACAAAAAGTAGGTTTTTGTGTCTGATGTCGGGGTCTTTTACTCTTTGTCTAATGTAGTTTATATAGGGGCATTCGTTAGCCCATGGGCTGGCATTAAATGGCCAAAGGTCAACTTCGTTCAAAATCCTTCATTGTGTGGCTTCCTAAATTCGTGGAATTGATTTGAATGAGATCATCGGATTGCAAATCTGATCACTTGATTCTCTCCTCCTTAGGAATGTTCCAGATTGACATCACTCTCTTTGATTGCTTTCCTTGAATGGATCTTGTCACGTGCATGAAAATATCTGGAGGTTTTGGGCTTAACATCTGGTGAGACGATGTGGCTTCCGGAGTCTTTAATTTTGATTGAATATAATCCATTAATGCTGGGTGACTTGGAATTTCAATGAGTCCGTCTAAGAAACTTGGCCAAGGTCTACATGATTTTTTATCTTTCAATATTAATATATATATATATATTATATAGAAAGAGAGCTCGTACGCCATTTAGTTGGCCTTATACATATATATTGCTTACAGCCACTTTGAAACCCATGCCAATTTGATCCAAGCACGTGGGTTCTCTTGTGCCAAAACCAACTCTTCAACCAAACCTTTTATCCTCTAGCAAACTGACTCCAGCCAATTCGTGATTCTCCAGCCAACTTATCTCTCCAGCCAACT